CAGTCTAAAGGGAAGAGTCCCTCTACCAACTCTGGCCAGGGGACTTTGAGGAATCAGGGATCAGACCTGATGGAAGTCTGAGGCCAGCCCAGTGTCCTGCCCTCCTGAAAGTCAATCCTCTTGTCACAATGACTCCACCCCCACCCCCAGAATATGTCATATGTACCCTGTCATATGGAGCAACTAAGGATGCAGCTAGCCCAAGAATCATGGCTCTAGGCAGTGAGCTTTCCTACTGAGCATACATCCTTTTCCATTCTTGGGTCCTCAGTAAGTTCTGACAGCAAAAATGTTTTTATGATTCAACATAGTTTTTTCTAGCCGTGGTCTCCTTTCAGCCTTGTGCAGCTCTGAGAAGGACAGGCCTACCTCCCTTTTCTCAGCCATTCTCACCCTCTTCATCCCAGAATAATTACCCTGTATAGGCTGGAGATGGAGGCAGTCCCCCAGTCAGTAGTGTACCTTTTCTTCCTGTCTCTACATTTGTGAGCTGTAGCACTTTGCAGGTTCACCCAAGTCGGAGGCAGGTGAAAGCTGAGAGCTCAGTCCTCAGACCTTTTTGGTGAGCAGAATCCCATCTCTGCTCTCACCCTAGGGACTTTCTTCCAGTTGTTTGAGCCCCTCATCCTTAAACCAGAACTGTTTGTCCTGCACAACTCCTTGGAGTCAGCAAGTCTCAGGTGCTTTCTGCAGCAGTGTGACATTTCTTTTGGAAGGAATTCCTAGTACCTCCTAGTTCGCTGTCATCTGCAGAGCTAATAATTCTCACCATTTGGTTTCAATCTATACATGTCACGTCATTTTCTCTGAGTCCTTGTCACCCATCTCTCTTCTTGGCTCATTTTCCTAACCCTGGCTACCAGGCTGGTACAGTGATTGTCTTCTCTGCTGCTGCTCCTCCCACCTACTTTAACGCAGCCCCTCACTCTGAACCAGGTTACAGGGTGTGTTTCCTGAATGAACTAGTTTCTGTACCACAACAGCTGTTTTTCCAGGGGATCCTGCTGTGAGGCTTCCATGTACACCCCAGACGAATTTGGGCTCTCTTCCCATGCAGCCTCCTGGAGGGGTACCTTCTGAGGGAGAGGTAGACTGGATAGCAGAAGGCCTTGTTGGGAAATATCATACTTGGTTCAGATACTGCTGTGACTCCACCCAGCCTCAGAGCTGTTTCTCGCTTAGCAGAGACACATTTTGGCTTTGTCCCTACTATATCCCCATCCCCCACCTTAGCCCCAAACAGCCTACAGGAACCCATTGCGATTCTGGGGACCGCCCCTATCAGAATTACATCAGCAACGGCTGGTGTAATCAAACCCCATTTCTCAGTGTGAATTCTTAGCAGATTAACTTGTCAGATTCACAGAGAAACCGTCACCAAATGTTTATGTGTAAACGATGTTGAATTTTAAAATCATGTGGATTATGGCGGATGGGGCCTGACAAGATGACAGTCTCTGGTTTCTAACAAAGTGAAGTTACCAGTGTCAAAACAGAGGATGTTTATTGTTAAAAATGTCTCAAAGTATTCACAGAAACCCCTGCAGACCCCTGCCAGCAATGCTGGGCCTTGGCTGGCTGACCTAAGTCCTGGGACTCTCCTGGTCTAAGTCTCAGGGCAGAAATGGTGGGGCTGCAGACAGAATCAGGCAACCAGCTGGGAGGCCCACAGAGCACCACCACCACCACCACCCCACTCCACACTCACACAGCCCAGAAATGCCAGGCCCAGGCATTTGAATGGTTTCAAAGCATCCCCTTTGCCCATGGCCACCACCAACACAGCCCTTCTCCTCCATCACATTCTCCTTCCACCTCTACCCTTCTCTCACCATCAGCAATCCCATGAACATCTCCCTCCCTTTGCCCCCAAACTCCTCCAGAGACTGATAGCCAGTTTCGCAGCCTCCCTGCCCAGAGCTGGCACACCTGAAACTGCTCAGGTTCAGTGTAGTTGTTTGCAGCCCCCAGCCCTGCAGGACACTTCCTGCACCTCACTTTCTGCTAGACCTCCGTCAGGAAGTGCCTGGCCAAGACTGAGGAGTAACCCTCCACCCAAGGAGCCTTACTAGGGCGGGGGTTTGTCCCTTGTGTGAGCACATGGCCATGGTTTAAATTCTCCCCATACACTAAAAAGGGGAATAGGGGTAAAGAGATGGTAGGATATATCCTGCTTTAAAAAGTCATAGAAAAAGAATGAAGACTGTCTGTACCGGCATAGAGAGATCTTTAAAAATACAGAAAATTTGGATAAAGTAAGTATGGCTAGTATGATCATAATGTGGCAGGACTAATGCTTACATAACACCTATATATACTTACAAACATGCGGGGAGACATCTGAAAGCCTGTACAGCATTCCCCTGGGAAAGAAGACAGACACAGGGAGGGGGAGGGCGGGAAGGATGGCCGTGACTACCTTTGCTGCTCACTGTCCTGTACTGTCGGAGAGTCCACCACGTACATGGGTTCCTTTTATTTCACAGGAGAGATCGTTTGCCCCTAGCCCAGGGCTACCTTGGCACAGATCTGCCAGGGACCCTTGCCCTCTACTACTCCTCAGAGCCCCCTTGATCTAGAAACCCACTCCTCATGTCTGGAAGCTTTGGCTATGCTTTTCTATTTCATCTTTAGTTCTACTTCTTCATACCTAAAGTGTTGGCCTGCTGACCTTGGAGGGAGAGGATGTGCGAAAAGAGCATAGTATTGTGAGTCTAGGACCAGCAGAGGGATAGAAGGACATAGAAGGGAGAGAAGGAAAAGGGCTTCTCCTACATTCAGTTCATAGTGCTGAGAGAGGGGTCTGTGGAGGATGGCGGGTTTGGACGGCTCTCGGGGCACAAAGCAGCACAGGGGTCTGTGCTGGAGGTGGGTGAGGGGGGTCCCAAGCCAGAGGCCATCCCTGGCCCAGCATGACTCTGTCTAAGCCAGCAGGGGAGGTCCACCGTGGCTGATTGTCAGTGTTAGGGAAAAATCTCCAGAGAGGGAAGGGGCAGCTGCTGCCGCCTCTGTTTCCTGCCCTCGGTGAAGTCCTGTTCTCTCACACCAACAGAGGAGCCAATACGGCTACTGCGGGAGGTGGTGCTGTTGACAGATGACCGCAACCTGCGTGTGAAGGCGCTGACAAGGAATGTGCCTGTGCGGGACATCCCGGCCTTCCTCACGTGGGCCCAGGTGGGCTGAGTGGGCCACACCGGGGCCCACCCCCCATGGAACCGTTCCTGAGAGGCCACCAGGCGCCCAGTGTAGCACAGAAGATGCCCACGTGCCACGTGCCTGAGCCACCAATCCACCCAGACAATAAACCATCCTCTTCCAACCCACGCCGTGGCCATGCTGTGGGGGAGCTGCTCCTCACAGAGCCCCTCCCAAGGGTCGGGCGGAAGCTGCTGGGACCCTCGTGGGCTGCCAAGATTTAGCAGGGAAGTGGCTGGCTACAGTGACAGCAGGTGGACCAGCCAGATAGGCTGTCCATGCTCTCAGCCTTTCTCCCTCCCCCTGTCTAGTTCCATTGCTGGGGGAAGGCCGCCTCAGCCCGAGACTCAGCCACTTTCTCAGGTGGAGATGAGGCAGAGGGTTTAGAGTTTCCATCAGATACAGGTGAAATCACAGGTCCCTTTAATCTTCTCAGTAGCCCTGTCCTGAATGTGTCCAAGAAGCTTTAGTCATGACATGAAGAGAGTGCCCAGGGTGTGTGTCTCTCCCTGAGGCCTGGATTCCCCTGTGGACCCGAGTTGGGTTCTGGACACCATGTCACTAACAGCAGACCTAGACTCCCTTCCCCCTTCCACCCCAAACACACCCATCCTGCTTTTCTTCCTTCCCTGTCAATCTGGGTTCATTGCACTTTGCTACTTGTTTTACCCTTGGTTGGTCATGGGTCTGGAGGGAAAGGGCATCTGGTCTTGGGCCCATACTTCCTGGGTGGCCTTTGCCTGCTCCCTCTCTCCTCATTGACCTTCCTTTTGTTCAAGTTTCCCCAAGAAGTTTCCTCAGAGTCTTCTCAGTTCTGCCCTCTCCTCTCCTGGCCTACCTCTCTCCCTCCTGTGTCATCCCCCTCACCCTCTTGCCCATTCTAATCCTCTTAACTGCCCTAGTCCCCTCAGTTTCCTCAACTCAGTTCTTTGCCATGGGGGTTCTTACTCCAAAACTTCCTCCTCTGGGACCTGTGGCAGGAAGCTAATAAAACTGTTCCACCCCTGACCTTCTTTCCCAGACCCCTATGGCCCAAGAAACTTCCAGGCTTGTACAGCCCAGCCTGAAGGTAGGGTGGGCCAGTGCCATTGCCTAGCCTGGAGTTTTCATTCACCCTGTTTCTAGCTTTGCCTAGAAGAACTTAACACAGGGACCCTTTAGCCTTTGAGTTTTTTGTTGCCTCTTTAACTGGCACCTGTGTTTAAAGCCAGGATATGTGTTCTCCAAACCCAGGGACAGGAGTGAGGGGGACTTAAGAGAAAGAGGGTTTTGAGGAGGAGTAAGGAGTAGGTTTGGATGAGCCCAGTGCGGGGAATCTCCTAGCACCCCTGTCTTCTGACTGTGGACTGTACCTCCCCTGCCCAGAGGATAGGAGCAAGTCTGTTACACCCCTCCCCACAAAGCCCAAGATGATGCCAGAAGGAGGGGAGACTACGGGAGAGCCATGACCAGTAGTTTAGGGTATAAATCCCCGGGGCCTCAGAAGACTGGGCTCTATGGAGTAAAGGTTCCCCTGGCCTCCTTTGAGATCTTCCCTCAATGAAGGCTGATGGGTCGGTGGGAGGGGTGGGCGGGAGACCTGTCTCTCCTTTTTGTTCCATTTGCAGCACTGGTTTTGTTTCCTTAATAAATTTTAGTTATGAAACATACTTGACCTCTTGCTGATCTGTTTCTGGGGCTGGGTAGGGAAGAAGGCCCAAGCCTCTGCACCTGTGCGAGGGTGCCAAGTCTGGCCCCCCGCCGCTGACCCAGCGGGGCCCTCCCAGGGCTTTGTGTAGGGTGGAAGAGAGCAGCAGGGTCCAGGGTCCTTGGTTACTGCTTTATTGCTGTTTGGTTCGAGTATAGAAAATGGAAGCGGCTCTGGAAGAGCCTGTGTACAACGTAGGAAATATACAAACGAGGAGGAGGGAGCTAAAGAGACCGCAGTCCCAGCCCAGTCAAGGGCTCGGGATGGGATGGGGGCCGCCCTGGGCGCATGCAATAAATATGGTCCGGGGCCCCAGGGAAGGGAGAGGGACACCTGGGGGGGAGGGGGGGAGAGACCGGGCGTGCCAGGGCTGTCTCAGCCTTCTGACTTAGGAGGGAGGGAAGGGTTGGCCCTGGGGCTAGTGCCACTTGTGCAAAATGAGGAACTTCACATTATCAGTCCCGGGGCGGGCGGGGGCGGGGGCGGGGAGGCCCTCCGGCCGGCTCAGTCCCCTCCCTGCTCCCCAAGTCTGCCCGACGCTCCGACCCCAGCGGGGAGATTCACAGTGAGAAAGGGTGTGGTCGCAAGGGCCGGAGGTAGGGCCGGGAGCTCCCCAACAGTGACACCCCTCCCCCCAGGAGCAGCACGGAGCCAGGGGAGGGGGCCAACGAACCACAGGAAGAGGCGGAGAAGGGCTGGGGGTCTCCTTTGGTCAAAGCTGATATCAAAAATATAAATCTCCCTTCCCCCATCCCACCCCCGTCCCGGGGTTTTACCCCTACCCCCACCCCGGGCTAAGGCACAAAGCAGTGAGGCCAGGTGGGGCCGCTGCCACTGAGGCGTCGCTGCCGCAGCAGCTACTACAGTTCTCTCGGCGCCCGCCGAGAGCCAACTCGCCGCCGCCGCCGCCGCTCGGGGGCTGCAGGTCGTGGCCAAGCAGCGGCGGCGACGGGGCCGGCAGGCGGGGCGCGCCCTAGGTGGGGGAGAAACGGTCGATGGTCCGGCCGTCGGGCCCGGCGGCCAGGTGCGCTCCCTGGCTCAGCACCTCCGCCGCCTTGTCGGGGCTGAGGCCCAGCTCCGCGGTGAACTTGGCCAGCGGGTAAAGGCTCTCGAGCGCCACCTTGGGGTCGTGCAGGAAGTGCGTGGTCTGCGCCAGCAGCTCGGCCGCGGCCGCCTTGTCCTGCTGCTTCAGGCTCAGCTGTTCCGCCGTGAGCCGGGCCACCGCGAAGACACCCTCGGGGAAGTCCAGCTTGCCCTTGCCATCGGGGCCGGGGACGCCGGGGAGCCCCCCCAGGCCCGCCAGCGCCCCCGCCGCGCCGGCCGCGCCCCCCACGGCGTGCATCTTCATGTGGCTGATGAGGTTGCGTTGCTGAGCGAACTTGCCGCCGCACACCTGGCACTCGTAGGGCTTCTCCCCGGAGTGGATGCGCATGTGCTCGGTGAGGCGGTACTGGCGCGTGAAGCGCATGCCGCACGCGTCGCACGCGAAGGGCTTGAGGCCCAGGTGGCTGCGCATGTGGCGCGTCATGGTCCCGCGCTGCGTGAACTTCTTCCCGCAGATGGTGCACGGGTAGGGCCGGGTCAGCCAGTGCGTCTTCTCGTGCTGCCGCAGCGTGGCCGGGTCCTTGTAGCTCTTGTCGCACGACGCGCAGCGGTAGGGCCGCAGCAGCTCGCCCAGGCCTCCCGCGGCCCCGGCCACCTTGTCCCCGCCGCTCCCAAACGGGGGCCCAGGCCGGCGGCCCCGGCGGCCACATCAGCGGCCTCGGCCCTGCCGTACAGCGCCTCCTCCTCCTCCACGTGAGCCTCTACGTGCGCGTTCAGCTGCTCGGAGCTGGGGAAGCCCTTGCCGCACGGGATGCACACGTACAGGTTGTCGCCGAAGCTCTCGGGTTCGCCGTAAGCCAAGTGCGGGCACGGGTAGCCCTCGAGGTGGCCGCCGGGCGGGCTGGGGTCCTCGCTGCTGCCCGTCTCCTCACTGCTGCTCTTGTAGTCGTCGCCATCGCCCCCCGCGCCGGGCCCGTCCAGGCTGCCGGGGTAGCGCGGCGGTGGCGCCAGGCCGAGCGAGGGCACCCCGGGCGAGGCGGCCGGGTCCCCGCCGCGCTCCTCGCAGCGCTCGCCGGGGGAGCCGCGCTCGCGGCCCAGCTCGTCTCCATAGCTGCCCAGGCCCGGCTCGTGCTTCATCCAGCGGTAGAGGAGGCTGGGCCCGTCGGGGCGGCCGGGGGGCTCGGGTCCCGGGCTGCCGCCGCCGCGGAACGGGTCCGGGGGTGGCAGGGCCTCCTCCAGCTTCTGGAAGGGCAGCGGCGGCAGCGGCGGGAGGGCGAGCGGCGGCTCCTTGTAGGCTGCGGGGCCGGCGCTGGGCGGGCTGTCGGGCCGCGGGGGCAGCTCGCGCTCGCCCAGCGGCCGCTCGGGAGGCGCGGAGCCCGGCGGGCTTTTCTTGGACAGATCCAGGCCGCAGAGCGGGGAGCAGCGGCGCTCGGCGGCGCAGAGGGCGGCGGCCGGGCCGGGGCCCGAGGCGTACATCTCCGCGCAGTGCGTGCTCACCGCGGCCTCGGCGCCCGAGGGCGGGTCGGCGGCGGGCGGCGGCGGGGGCCCGGCGGGCGACGAGTAGCAGGTCTGGATGACGGGCGTGGCGGCCCGCAGGCCCCGGCCGGGCCGGCCGTAGGGCGCGTAGCCCCCGCCGCCGCCGCCGCCGCCCCGCAGGTGACAGTACTTGCCGTGGCGCTTGAGGCGCTTCTTGCACAGCGCCACGAGGTCGGGGATCTGCAGGTAGCTGGCGGCGGCCAGCACGGCTCCCAGGCTCGGCTCCGCCCCGGGGGCCACGGCCGCCGCCGCGGCTGCCTCCGCGCCGTCAGCCAGGCGGCCGGTGTAGATGAAGTCCAGCACCAGGCGGAAGACGGCCGGGCTCACCATGTCATGGTCCAGGTTGAGCAGGTTGTCATGCACGACCAGGGACTTGAGGTAGGCGCTGCTGGCCGCCAGCACGTTCTTGTGCGCGCGGAAGAGGGCGTTCTGCACCACGATGATCACGTCGCACAAGAAGCCTTTCGTGCGCTGGTTGTTGAGCTGCAGCAGCAGCTGCCTCGAGTGGCCAGGCGCCTCCATCGTGTCCAGCATCGTCTGCCCAGCACAATCTCCTGCGGGGACACACACCGGCCGAGTCAGAGCCGCACCGAGACTTCACTGCCGGTACCCGATCCAGCCCGGCTCCCCTCCACTTCCCCTTCCCCTCAGCTAGGCAGGGGCATGCAGCACCGCGGCCTGGGCACTGCCAGAGAGGAGGCGGCCTCCCCAGGGTGGGGATCTGGGCCGAGCCACCCAGACAAGAAGAAGGAGCAAGGGACTGGCTGGTGGAGAGGAGACCACGCTGGTCTGCGCCCTCAGGCCCTGATACCCCTGGGCACCCAGGCTGGTTTCTGGGGGTTTCCGAGGAGAAAACTGTTGGGGCGAAGTGACCCTTTCGGAGAGAGTTACCGGATTTGAGGAAAATGTCCGCTTCAGGAAAAGTCATTCAAGGACCGAGAAGTTTGCCCCAGTGGAGAATAAGAAAGCTGAGTAAAAAGGCCTCCCGCCTCAGGAGAAGTTGCCCCAGTTGGGGGAAGTGATCCCGAGGAGAGTGCGGTGCCCGCCGTGGCGCCGCCCCGGCCGGGGGCTGTCAGGCCCTCACTTGTGGGCCCGGGCGGCGGCACAGGGAGCGGAGGCACCGGCTGCGGTGGCGGGCAGAGCGCGAAGGCCGGCCCCGGCGCGGGGAGGGCGTTATATCGGGGCAGGAGGCTGAGGCAGGAAGCAGGTGGGGGGGAGGGGGGAGCCACGCAGCTCCCAGGGGAGGGAGGGGGCAGCGCCCCGGGCGGGCACGGCGCGCTGCCTGCTGCGGCCCTGACCCCGGCCTGCGCCCCACCCGCGTCCCGGCCCGGGCCTCCTCGGCCTCAGCTCTGCCTTCTCCGGCCAGGCGTCTCCCTCCCCAGCTCCTCTCGGCCCCCTCTTCAGGGGAACTCCGTAGCCCCAAACTTGGGGGAAAGTTTCCCAACTTCAGACTGGCCGGGAGGAGCGCGCCCGTCCCAGTCCCTCGGCTCGCAGCGTTTATCCTCGACCCCGGGTTCGGAGGCCAGGCGACCGCAGGGCCGGAGCCGAGCCCTGAACTTCTCAGCCCGCTCGCTGGCCTGCCCGACCGTGCTCCCCGCCTGGCCCGCAGGGCCCCGTGGCCCGTTACCTGCGGCCACAGGCCTGCCGGGCTTCCCTCCCCGCGGCGATGGCAGTTCCTAGCCGGCGCCCCACCCTCCCCGCTGCCAGGCGCTGAGCAGTGCCAGGGCAGCGCCCCTGCCAGCCCCGCCCGGCAGCTCCCCTTCTCTTCCCCTCGCCTCTCCAGCCCATGTGCGGGCAGAGCCGGCCCCGGGCAGCTGACCCCGCGGTGAACCCGGCGCAGAGCAGTGGTCTGGCGGGGCTGAGTCCCCTCGGGGTGACACCCGCCCGGAACGCCAGCCGCGCCGGGGCGCCCGCGCTGGAGGATGCGCCCGGGGCGGCCAGCACGCGAGGACCGGGCTGTCTGGGTCCCCTGTCCCTCACGGTCCCCAGCCCAAGGACCCACCTGGGGGGCATGTCGGAAGCCCCGGGCCCGGCTGCCGGCGGATCCAGGGGGGACGTGGCTGCGCTGCGCTGCCCTCCGCCCGCCGGGCCCCCGGTCGGTCTGTCTTGCTGGTCCGTCCTCCCCGCGTCCTGGTCGCGTCTCAGCCCCGCTGCGCTTTCCGCACACTCTTATCTGGAGCGGCCCGGGCCGACCGGCGCTGCCGAAACTACATCGCCACCTAGCGGCCTCGAGGGGCTTTGCACCACACAGCGACCTGCCTCCGCGCACCTGGGCTGGATGCGCAGCTGGATGCGAGAATCGGGAGTGGGAGGCTTTCCGCAGGCTCGCACTCCCAGATGTGCCCACGTAGGGGCCCAGGCCCGATACCTGCGAGTCCCACAGCCTACTGGGTTTTGAGTCGAAAGCTCTCGCGTACATTTTTAGATTCTTGTATTGGCCAGATTTGGAGAAATCTTGCCCACAAGGAGGGGGACTCAATTTGAGTAGATAGTGGGAACAGGTTACAGAAATCCCAAGGGAGAAGGTAAAAAGGGGTCTTGGGAGACTCTCCTTAGGCGTTCCTCGATGGGACTGAATATTTGCTCCTACTCCCAGGTATCCACGGAATAAACCCATATGCACCCAGACCCTCTCCAGGCATTGATATCAAGTGTTTGCACAAACACGCCAGTCCTCTTCCGAAATCCAAGTCCCACTTCGTGAACCTGGGCAGAGACGTCATCCAAGCAAATTTACAGGACTCTGGAGAAACCTCAGGACAGTCTGCTGGGAATGGTTGGACAGCGCCCCTGAGGGGGTCCCGCAGCAACTCCAAGCCCCAGGTTCCCCCTGTGAGCCGTTTTGAGGCCCCACTTGGACGACTAGTCCCCAGCCCACCGACTGGAGAGAAAGGTGCCAGGAGAGTTTGCAGTCTGTAATCCCCTACCAGGCCCTGCACCCGCACTTGAAAGTCCAGTGCGTGCAGGTGGCGCCCCTTCTGGTAGGGAGGGAGGGGACCCGCACTGGTGCTGGCGAGGCTACTCCGGAAGTGTCCTCGCGCGGCCCCGCCGCCGCATCAGGCCTGTAAGCGAGCGCCGGGTCTTCTCGACCCACGCTCCGCCTCCTCCCCGCACCTCCTGACCCCCGCCCACACGTGGGGGTGGGAGTGGGTCCCCGAGAACGCCTGCAGCTTCTGATTGGCTGCGACTTCCTCGGCGGCAGCGCGCGAGAGGCTGGGGCGCAGAGTTACCATAGTAACCGATGAGGTTCGCCCAGATCTCTTTTTTCCAAGGTCTTGGAGAGCTTAGCAACCACGCAGGGCCACTGGGCGGGTGGGGGCTGCGCTCGCCACCCACCTCTCGGTCCTCTTCCCGCACGCCCCCGCTAGAGGTAATGTCTGAGTCACTGAGCCGGGGGCCGCTGGCTGCGGGGTTCCTGACAGACACCAAGGTCTTGGGCGCCCCCCAGAGGTTCCCTCTCCTCCGTAGGCGACTTCATGTCTTTGGGTCCAGATGGTGTGACTCCTGGCCCACTGTAGCTCCTTCTGACTCCCACCAAGTCCTGAGCCCGCCCTCACCCTGCTTCCACTCCGAGATCTGGATCCATCTTTCCTCCTCCTCTCCCTCTCCTAGTGTCCTCACAAGAGAAGTAGTGAGGTTCCAAGAGTGCAAATGTGGGTTCTGCAACTGGCAGCCACTAGGGAGGATGAACCCAAAAATGTTAGCTGAGGGAGATGCTGTGGACTGAGGTAGAGTGCTAGAACTGAGGTGGAGTGCTGGGAGAATGCAGGAGGTATCCTGAAAAGAAGTGTTCTCAGAGCTGGGCTTTGATGGGTGAATAGGAGTTCTTCCCCAAGGCAGGAAGACATTCCTGGAGAAGAGAACAAAGGCTGGAAGTCCAAAAAGGGGCCCCGGGAGGTGGGAGGGACTATAGGAGGCCAGATCCTAGAGGGTGTGCAGGGTCTCTCTGACCCCATTTCTGCTATAATCTTTCTTCTCTCAATGGGGCCAGATCCTAACCCAAAAGGAGACCCTCAGTCCTGTCTTTTCTGTGCACTTTCTGCTGTGGAAATAGACCCCCTCCAAACTCTGTTGTGCCCACTGCTTTTGTTTTTTTCTGCAACACTCTCCCTGGGTTAATTCAGTGCTCCTAGACCCTACATTCAGGCTGTCCTTACATCTGTATGGGAGGGTATCACAGATCTGACCTGAGTAATACTTAAGCTTCAAGACCTCCTTATCCTCCTGTAGACTTCACTCTTCTTCAGACTTTGGCTTTTTCCTCCCTCCCTCCCTCTTTAGTTCTACCTGCCTTGACCTGACACTGCCCCCTCCCCAGGTCAGTCCAACTCCTGTCTCCCAACACAGTCGCCCTCCCCCATTTAGAGTCTTTCTCAGGTAGTGGTGTTCGGATGGGCCGGGATCATGCTATACTCTGCTTCTGTCAGGAGCCAGTTCTACATGGCATGAACCCTTCCTGCCAATTCTGACCTCCAGAAACTCTAACTCCTCCAGAAAATAGTCTCTGTCCCATCACTTTCTGGATGCTCCTCTCTGCCAAGTTGCTAATTCCGTGGTCTTCTTCATCACCACCCTCACATGAGCTCTGTTTATGGTCATTGTTTTCCAAATGGGTCCGAAAAGCAGTTCACTGGGTGCCAGGCTGGAAAACTGGTCCCGCTGACTTAACCTCCCCTCCACTTGCTGAGGCCTCCTCCTCCTCTTGGGCGCCCTTCTCCTGCCTCCTTTCCCTCTATTCCCCCCACGGAATTCCCTCACTTTCCTTTGCTCATTTGAGGGGAGTCACACCCACCCTCCTCAACTTTTCTGCCTTCTCTCGGTCTCCAGTTCCAGAAGGGACCTTCCGCCACCTTCTTCCAAGATCCCTGGGCTCCCCCTTCTCTCCTCCCCATTCCCCCAAAGCCACAGCTCTAGATGCTGCCCCTCGTCCCCGCGCTGGTCCAGCTGCCTCTACTAACCCCTCCCCCTAGTGATGCTGACCCCGAAACGGCCACTGGGGCTAGAAACCGCCCGGGGGCCTCATGTGACGTCACAGAGCTGTCGGGTCCGGGGCTGAGGCGCGGGAGTGGGCAGGCGGCCGGGCGCGGATCTCGGGAGGCTCGGCGGGGGTGGGGCGGCGCCTCCCGGTGTCCCGGAGTGAATAAACAAGCCACGGGCCGGCCCGCCCCGCGGCGCTCTCCCTCGCCAGCCCCCCGCCTGCAGTTCCGGAAAGTTAACCCCTTGCGGGCCGGCGAAGGGGGCGCGGACTCCTCCTCCCCACTCCGCTTCCGCGCACCCTCCTCTCCCTTCCAGTTCTCCGTTGCCTCGGTCCCCACCCCCCCCCGCCTCGACACTATAAATAGCCCCTTTTCCCGTTTCCTAAATTCCCTGCTGACGTCGGCAGCGCGTCAGTGTGTAGGAGCTGCGGCCGCATGAATGAGCCGCCGCACGAGTACTACGCGCGCCTATAAAAGCTGCCGCGCCAGCCCGACTGCGGGAGGCGAGCGGGAGCGGGCGCCGACGCGGTGCGGCCCGACAGGTAAGCGGGACCGACCGACCGACGGCGACAGATGAGCCGATGCACGGACACGTCGGGAGGGCACGGAGACGGGCAGCGGCAGGTTGGAGGGCCCTTGCGGGGTGGGGCTGGGACTGAGTGGGGCCCGGGACTTCCCTCGCCGCTGCGGGAGCCGGGCGCGGAGGCGTTCGCAGAGCCCGGCAGCACCTGCCCGCGCCCAGAGGAAGAGGCAGCCACTTCGCAGGAGCGCGGAACAGAGGCACGGACCATGGAGTTACCGCGGCTTTTCCCGGGGGCTCCTGCACCATCCTCCCAAGAAAGTGGGGTGAAGGTGCTGGTGCCCCAGGAGATGCGCCCCCTCCCCCTCCCCACTGCGCGGTGACTCAGCCTCGCTGCCCCCACCGGCTGAGCGGGGGCGCCGTAGAGGGACCGACCGCCACCTACCCACCGTCCCGCCGCGGCTGTCCCGGGACCCTCGCCCGGCGTTCAGCCAGGGCGCCCACCCCGTCCCGGTCCTGTCCAGTTGGGCAGGTCCCACAGCGCCCCCGACTTCCCGCCTCTGCGCGAGGAGCTGTTCTCTCAGGACTAGGCGGAGGCGGGGCCTGAACCGACCGCCCCGCCCAACCCCCCCCCCATTGACAATCCCACCTCCCCAAACCATCCCCCCTCCGCCGCCGGAAGTGCCTCTCCGCAGGGACATCTTTGACGTCACAGGGCTCTGACGTCAAAGGCCGCGTGCCTGTCCGCGAGCGCTGGGGCCAAGAGGGGCGGGAGACGAGGGGGAGGAAGAGCTGCAGCACCCCCAGCTGCGGGCTACCGAGGCACCCCCGCCCGGGCAGCGCGCCGGCACCTTGGCTCTAGACTGCTTACTGCCCGGGCCGCCCTCAGTAACAGTCTCCAGTCACGGCCACCGACGCCTGGCCCCGCCCCAGGACCACACCCCCGACCGCCGGCCGAGTCCCCGGCCCTCGTCCCTCAGGGTCCCGCAGCCCCTTCTCGCTGCCGCTGTCCGCGGTGCTGATCCAGCGCCGGCGCCGCGCGGGGCCCTCCAGTCCCCGGCGCGCAGGGGGCCGGCCCACACGCGAGCTCGCCGCAGCCCCGGGGCTGCCCCGCGCCGAGTCCCGGCCGTGCGCGTCGCCCCCGCCCGCGCCGCCAGCGCCCCCCGCCACCAATCCCGCGATGCTGACGTCAGTCGGACTGGAGCTGCGGCGGTGCCGTCAGCGGCGCGCGCCCCGCCCCCGCGTCTCCAGGGCAACCGTGGCTTTCGATTGTTACTGTGGGAACCGGAGGTAACAGTCTACAGCCATGGTCGCCCCGCAGCACGCCCACGCGCCGCGCCACGCTACGCACTGCCGGTCGGGGACTGGGGACACCAGCAGCAGGAGGAAGCGGGGGCCGCGAGTCAAGCTCTCATGTGTGTGCGGGGGTGGCGGGAGGTGTAGTTGAAGGAGCTGGGCTGCTACGGGGGTCTGACTACTGCGCGTCCACCGAGGCGAGAAAAGTGTGGATAATGTCTGACCATCATCTGTAGTGACTGTCCTGTCCTAGCCGAGGTATTGCAGCTAAGGGATGGCTTAGGGAAAGGGTAGTTCTGGGACTTGGTTCTTTTTATTCTTCGGTGGAAGTGAGGCTGCTGGAACTTGGAAGCATGGGGAAATGTTTGATTCCCGGGGACTGAAGGGGGGTAATCTGAGGAGAGTTGCTGTTGTTGTTGTTTTTTAAATATGCCACACCTCATTCTTCCAGGATCTCCTAGCCCAGTAGGCAACAGGCAAAGAGAACCCATTTCCTTGAACCCGTTTCCTTACGAAGTTACAGCCTCCTCTCTCTCCTCTTCGTACGTTTTGGCCCTCTGGGCCATATAGAATGAGACGGGTACCCAGTTCTCATAAGGCTGATGGGTTTGTAAAGTTAGCCCTCTCCCAAAGAGTTGTCTAAATATATCAACATCCTAAATCCAGTCTACCTCTAAGGGCTAGATTCCAATTTGAAATGGTCTCAGATTAGCCCTAAGAGGAGTGGATACCAGAAGGGCCGAAGTTCTGAGGTGCCAGCAAAGTGTGGACATAATTCCTTCAAAAACAGTTTGTCAACTGCCAGCAGCTACTGCGGGGACTGTTGGATATTGGATGTGTCATTTCCATGGAACAGTGTTGAGAATGGTTGATGCAACCCTGTCCTGCCCATGATCCAAATTTACTTTAACCCTCCTTTTCTTAACTACTTCTAAGGTAATTGGTGCTGGTATCCCAGCTAATCAACATCCACATGCTGCCTCCCTCTCACCCAGGGCCCCTGAGGTCTTAGATTAATATGTACTTGTTTCTGGAATCCAGTGAACATCCATGGGTGGATTGTAGTTTATTATTTTTTAAAGATTTATTTATTTTTTTTGTGTGTACAAGAACTGGGGTGTAGGCCAGAGGTGCAGGGGGTGAGAGGATTCACTAGAAACAGTGTAGGGAGCAGAACAGGCAATCTATTGAAATACATTGCTAAGGGGAGCAGCCAGCAAGACAGGAGAGTTCTGCTACACTCTGTGGGTTAGCTCCCTGGCCGGGGGTGCAATTCAGGCCATTGTGGTGACAGAGCTGAGACTTAACCCCTAGGCCACCAAAAAGACCCCTGGGTTGTAGTTTATGCATGTGGGAGGCCCAATCTGGCTTCATCACCAACTAGTTATTTAGGGGTCATGTTCCTGAGCCTTCCGGAAAATGAAATAATTCCTTCTTTTTGGCAGGTCTGTTGTGAGGATCAAATTAGCATGATGTAAGTTAAAACCTTCAAAAAAAAAATCCAAGATGCTATTTTGACCTTAAGTGTTCTATTTAGGGCACTATTTGTGTGTGGGGTGGTGGTGTTGGGAGACCCAGATTCTGGGCACTTGGGCAGAATGAATAGTGGAAGACAGAATGAACAGCAGAGAGGGTATATTTCTCTGTGCACAAGCTCTGGGCTGGGGCTGTCTTGCTGTTATGGGTGTCCCCTCCCAAAAGCTCTAGAATCTAAAGCGGAGTGAGAGATAGTAGTAGGGATAGTCTCCAAACCAGTCTTGCAGTTTGAACCTATGTGGGGAAGGTAGTCAGAGGGAAGGAAAAAAAAAAAAAAAAACACAGATGGCTGATTATGTAGTTTTTCAGTATCTTGGAAATCATTTCATGCACTTTACTCCCAATCTATTTTATGGTTTAATAAGGTAAAGGCCAGACAGGACATAAAGCCCAATAGCAGTGCTCATCTTCTACCTTTACAACTTAGTAAAGGTCAAAAAAGTGAGCTTTTGTATCTGTTGCTTCACCTCTCTGCTTTTTCCCTCAATTGTAAAATAAACTTAACAGTACCTACCTCATGAAGTTGTGAGATTAAATTAGGCAACTATAAAGCTTCTGCTTATCAGACGGTCATAGTTAGCATTCAATAAATAAATGGCATCCTTATTTCTATCCTTGGGATCTCATTTTCCTTAGTTATAAATTGAAAATTTTACATCAATGATTCTTTTTTTTAAAGATTTATTTTTACTTATTTATGCATACAAGAGCTGGGGTGTACGCCAGAGATGGGGGGTGGTGGTGGTGGTGAAAGGATTCACCGGAGACAGAGTGGGGAGCAGAACAGGCAGATCTACTGAAATACACTGCTGAGGGGACCAGGTGTGACAGGAAAGATCTGCTGCGCCATGTGGGTCAGTTCCTTGGCTGGGGATCAAACTGCAATGGATGTGGATAGCTTCATAATGCTGAGACTTAATCCCTTGGGCCACCAGGGAGGCCCAGATCCATGATTCTTCACTGGAGTTTACTTTTTTTTTTTTTTTAAAAGATCTATTTTATTTATTTATACAAGAACCGGGGTGCAGGCCAGATATGTGGGAGGGTGAGTGGATTCACCAGACAGAGCGGGGAACAGAACAGGCAGACTGAAGAAATACACTGCTGAGGGGAGCAGCAGGGGAGGCAGGAGAGGTCTGCTGCTCCATATGGGACCCTCCCTGGCCGGCTGGGATTGAACCGGCACTGCACAGGCTGTGGACAGCTTCATAGCGCGGTGCTCAACTGCCTGCACCACCAGCAGAGGCCCACGGAGTTTACTTTTCCTCCCTAGTGGAGTATATGAAAATCACATGGCCTTTTTTTTTTTTTTTTTAAAGGATTATTTACCAGAGACTTACATTCTACTCTAAGGCAGTGACTTTAAAATATTATGTTGCATGAAAATGACAGTATGGTTTGTCAAAATGCAAAATCCTGGGTCTCGATGATGATTGACTCAGTAGGTATGGAGCATGATCCCCAACATGATCCTAATGCGAGTGGTTCACAGAATCTGTTGGGGTGGTTAGGGTGAAGAAGGGCAGAACTCCCAAAGATCTATTTCTGGAGGGCATCATGAGAGTTGGCTTATCTGTTATTGAGAACCAGTGGACCACATGATTCATCTCCTTTTAGCTTGGAAATTTTGGGATTCCCAGGGAGTCTTTGCCTTTACCCAAGCAGGAAGACTTCTGCTCCACCCAACACTGCCCTGCTCTATTCTCTTTCTGATTTTAAGTCTTGTCTTAAAATCCACACCCCTCCCCCTCCCCATGTCTCCTTCTCTCCCTTAATCCTCACAATAACCCCAGGTATACAAGTTATCTTCATCTCTTGGGACCTTGCTAAAGGGGCAGCCTATGATTGCTATGAGGGCAGATGAGCCCTGAGCAGCAGATCCAGAGTTCATTCTGTTTATTTCCAGAGAAGCTAGCAATCATTTTTTGTGTGAAATTATAAACCAAATTTAAATTTTCTAAAACATATATTTTTCAAAAACTCGGGCCAATTCCAACAGGTCTGTAATTCAATGGAGTATCTCAGTCCATTTCAGTCTCCTACTTTGGCCAAGGGAACAAATCAGCAGACTGTTGCAAAATAGCTTTCCTTCCAACCCCACTTTATCTTTTTTAAAAGATCTGTCAAAGAACTGGGGTGCAGGTCAGAAGGGAGGAGAGAGGATTCACAGAGACAGAGTGGGAGTAGAACAGGCGGATCTAATGAAATACACTGCTAAGAGGAGCAAGAGGTGAGACAGGAGAGGTCTGCTGTCACATGTGGGTTAGCTGGGGATGGAACTCAGGCAGTTGTGGTGATAGCTCTGAGATTTAACCCCTAGGCCACCAGGGAAGGCCCCCAACCCCACTTTTGCTGCAAAGCTCCTAAACCCTATACTGGGGATTTGTCCAAGGTTAATTCCAGCTTTCTTTTTTTTTGAACAGTGTCTATCTATAGTGAAGAACTCAACTTCAGTTAATTTAAGGGGTATCAGCCGACTGTCTCATAGGATAGGTCGGAATATTTACATTGCACCCCCTAATCCTAATTCCTGCCCAGTTACTAAATTTCCTGGTGTTAAACGTACTTGAGAGCTAAATAGGATCTGTTGTGAACTTCCAAAAAAACAGAACAGACTGGTAAACTGTCCTGCAGAAGCAGGGGAGAAGAGACCAATGTGTGTTGGTGGGTGGGGCACTGGAAGTAGGTGGAAATTAGCTAAAATGGGTAGTTTTTAAGGAAGTGCCTAAACTGACTGCACTCTCAAACTAGGTGGGCTGCCTTTGGGCTTTGGCTGTAATTACTATAGGGTAGCATAAATCTCAGAAACTTCACAAATGGGGTGCAGTTTGGAAAAGGGTCCCTTATGTGTTATCTTCGGCCTCCAGCCAACTCATGGGTCAGAGGGCTAACACAGTTAGGGAGGATAAAGTGAACACAAGAAGCCAGGGTTGGACAAAGGTCAGGACAGAGGAAGCCTAAACTCAATGTGGCCCAGGCAGGGCCCTGCCAGGTGACCCCTTCCCAAAATGTCTGAGATATAAATTCTTCTGATTCAGCCATGGAGGCCTTTTTCCTTTGGGACTTCCACCAAAAATGTGTGAATGCCTGTGTGCACAAATGCATGAGTTTGCCCTGGGGGCCTGTAAGTGGAAATACCTCCCTGCTTGGTGCTGCCCAGGAGGCTGTGTGGATGGCCACAGAATCCAGACTTCTGTTATAGTAGATTTTCCTGTGTCAGGAAATAGATGCTCAAAATCCAAACCACCACTTTATTGTGTGGCTCTAACAGTGTCTCCCATGTCAATCTCCTCTTATTCAGGGATCCACGGCTTTTTTCATCAGCTGCTAAGGTCAAAGTCCATTAAGACCTCTGATTTCCCTTTTTCTTGAGTGCAGAGCTGGGCTTATATCATTTGAGTCTTAAGAATTGATACTTGTCTCTTAAAGGGTGACGGTGAGGAACACTTAACAGTAGAGGAGGTCCCAGGGTAGGGGAGAGGGCAGGGATTTTAGAGGAACAGACATATTTGTTCTTTCACTCCGCAAACTGGTCCAAGAACTTGAGATAGGCCTGGCGCTGGGGTGCAGCTGCTGGAATGAAGTGGCCACCAGAGTGGGTGAGAGTGACAGCTCCAGGGAATCGGCTAGCCAGTTGCATACTCTCCTGAGAGGGGATGACACGGTCAGTGTCCCCAAAAATATGGAGTGAAGGCAGTGACAAGGGGCCCTGCAGGAGGGGTTCCTTGAGGCCAGGGCCCCGTGGACAGAAACCGGATACCAGGATGATAAACCGAGGCAAAGGGAAGCGGGTATCGCCTGCTTGGCCGAGGGCACAAACAAGAGCAGCTAGTGCGGCGCCCTGGCTGAAACCAAGGAGTCCATCAAAAGGCCCCAGCTTGTTCAGTGCCTGTGCCACGGTTCCCAGGGCTTCCTCCAGACCTCTGCATGTGGTGGGCTCTTCCAGCGCGGAGAAAACGTCTGCCTCTTCGGAAAACCACCAGCCTCGGGGTTGCTCCTCCGGAGGGCGGGGCCCTGCAGCGACACGGGGTAGAGGATGGGGTTAAGGGAAAGAGGAAGCCAGGGGGAAAGGAATGAGCAGGGGGGCAGGATTACGAGTGACAGAGAGGGAAAGAGACGGCTGAAGAGTGGGGGATAGGAGGGGCGGGAACGGACTGGCAAGAAGGGGACACAGGGCGCACAGATCAAGGTGGGAGCGCGGGAGGGCAAGACTGGAGTCTGAGTGCGGGCGGAACGGGAGAAATGAAGGCAAGGGCGGAATGAAGGAGGAGGACGGGAGGAATGAGGGGAGGATACAGGGTGGGGTAAGCCGAGGATGTCACGGGGACCGGGCAAGACAGACTAAGGGTGCCTTTCCAGGGCTGCGCTCGCCTCACCGGAGTCTGGCCCGGCGCCTTCTGGGGCCGCCGCGTCCGGGACCGGGTGTGGGCCGCTGAGGCACACGAGCTCGGCGCGGCCCCGCAGCGCTTTCCTCAGCGCTCCAGTCTTCTCGCGGAAGCCCCGCTCGCTCTGCCGGAAGCCCGCCAAGCACAGCACCCGCAGAGGACGCTGCGCGGCCATAACGCGGGGCCTCGCGGCACGAGGCAGCGGAAGCGGCCTTGCCCCGAGCGGAAGTTGAGAGCGCGGGGGCGGGGCCGAGCGCGGGCACCACCCGAAGGCGGGCCTCGGAGCGAGCGGGCGTTCCCGCCGCCGCCGCCAGGGTGCGGCGCGCCCGGCGCAGGGGCGGGTACCTGGGAACCCCGAGCGACTCAAGTTGCTGACGGCTCCGCTTTCTTGTCTCTGCAGCAGTGACTCTCGCCTGCCGTGGCCGGAGAGGGGAGCGTGGGCCGCTCCTGCACCTGAGGTGACAGACTCTGGTCAGGGTCCCGCTTCGGCGACGTCCGCCGCCAGCTCTCGTGCATTTCCCCTGGCGGCCGCAGGGCGGCGGCCTCGGCTCGTGTCGTCAGGGAGGTGGCCACGCGCCCTGGGGTAGCCTCTCCCTCTTTGGAGTCCCGCCCTACCTTCCCCAGCGCCGGTCGGCCCCGACCCTCGGAGGCCCGGTCCCGCCCATAGTTCACGGTCCACGGCCCCAAGGAGCTCGCGGCGTAGAAGTCCATGGGGTAGGGCTCTTGCCAGGGAACGTCCTTCAGGGCCACGGCCGCCTAAGGGTGGAAAACCGGACAATAACATCTGCGAACATTTTCTGGGCAGGATTAGTCAATTCAGCCCTCACAGCGGCCTACGAAAGTTCTATTATCCCCATATCCAGAAAGATTAAGGGATTTGCCCAAGGCCACACAGCTGTGAATGCTTCATACGTAACTAAGTGCTGCTCCCCCACCCCATCTACTTCAGGCAGAACCAGGTACAAGGCCGCTCTCCCCCAGGCAGCTTCAAAATTTGGTGTTACCTCGTAGGGTGTCAGCAGCGGTTTGGGAAAGGCAGTGCCCCAGTCAATGGAGAGGCGTGGACATGCCACCTGCACCCACCTGAGAAGACAGATCAGACTCAGGGTGGAGTCCTCCCCGCCTCCTGGACAGCACGTTGAAGAAAGTGACTACTCCGCGACAAACCCAAGGAATGCTTGATATTAATCTAAAGCAATGACTGTCACCTGCTGTTTAGAATAACACTATCGTGTTGCTTGTTTTCTCCTGTTTCCTCCACTGACTGACCCTCTGAGGGCAAAGCCTAGGCAGTTCACTTATGATCGTATCCCCAGAACCAAATTCAGTGCCAGGTACAATGCAGGTGCCAACCACCCCTCACACTCATCTGATGTAGAACTGTGATGTTTCCATTGCCTATGTGCCCCCAAGACAGGCAAAGTAGGTATGACCATAGCCAGGGGTAGTCCTGCTGGATGAGTACTCTGTAAATATTAAAATTTCATGACCGTAGAATAAATTCCCATTGACTCTAAACTTCAGTATGTGCTGGGCAGGACCCAGATCCTAAATTTCTTTAGCTAGAGTCACAGCTAGGTTGATAAGGTGGAGAAACTTACACCTCTACCTCCGGAAGTAGGCTTAGCTTGCTGGGGAAGATCTCAGAAAGCAGCAGCCTCACAAAGGGGAGTCCCAAGGCTTGGAGCCGAGATTCCAGGTGCTGTTGGGAGACGGGGGCAGAGCTGGGCTAAAGCACCCAAGGCTAAATCTGCTAGCTGACTGCTCTTCCCAGCTGGGTCTTCAAGCAGTCCCCACCTCCAGAGGCCATCCCAGTCCCTCTGACCTCCAGAATCTTGGGGCTTCCCTGGCGACCCAAAGTGCCCAGGATAAGGCCCCAGAATTTAGCTGAGCGGGCGGTGGCTATGGCTTCTTGGCGATTGGCCTGCATATGCTGATGGTCATACTGCTCTCTGGACAGAACTTTGCTGTATGGGTCATATCTGGAAAAGAAGCATCTGTCAGGATCGTGGTGACAGCCACTTAAGAGACATGCTGCACACCCAGCTCTGACTCAGCCTTTGGTCTCCTGAATCTTCAGACTACATGCAGGTAATCAGGGGCAGAGGCAAGAGCAGAGCACCTATTAGGAAGATCAGACCCATAATTGGAGCAGGCAAGAGTGGGAAAGGATGTTAGGATCTCACTGAATCCGAGGGAATGGATGGGTACTGTGCAGCAGCAGCTCTGGGTCTTATAACCAAAGTCAGGACCCAACTGACCAGATCTTTAGGGATGGGGGCTGTTAAGGGCCAGGGAATGGAGATGTTTCAGCCCATTGAACTCCTCAATGGAAGGGGATCCCTCCCTCATCTCAGCTGGTCCACCCAGTTCAACCCATACCGGTAAGAGGGAACATTGGGATTGGCAATCATGACAGACTCCAGATGGAAGCGGCCATCTCCAAGATATCTGCGGGGAGTAAAAGGGGGCTGTAAGTACAGGGCAGGGCAGAAGATACAGGCATTGGCTTGCAGATCCAGAGAACTGAGCACTTGTCAGGCTGTGCTGCTGATGGTGTGTGTGACCTGGGACAAGTCATCACTTCACCTCTTGAAGCCCTGGTTTTATTACATGTAAATAAATTTGAATAGGAAAACCTTAAGGTTCCTCCTGGTTATATAATGCAGTAACTAAGAACTGCCCCACCCCAATCTTGGGGAAAGCAAAGGGTCAGTCAAGAGCATGTTAAGGGGCCTCCCCGGTGGCGCAGCGGTTGAGCGCTGGGTTGTGAAGCTGCCCGCGGCCTCTGTGGCGCCGGTTCGATCCCCGGCTGCTCCCCGGCCACCGGAGGAGGGTCCCACATGGTGTGCAGACTTCTCCTGCCGCCCGCTGCTCCCCTCAGCAGTGTACTTCGGTCCTTCTGCCTGCTCTGCTCCCCGCTCTGGCTCTGGTGAATTCTCTCACCCTCCCGCGCTTCTGACTGTACCCAGTGCATGTATAAACAAAAAAACAAACAAACCAGCAAAACAAATAAATAAAGCATGCCTCTAAAAAAAAAAAAAAAAAAAAAAAAGAGCATGTTAAGGCCTCTCAGGGCTCTAGAGATCCTAACTCGGTAGGCGGACAGATTTCCCCCTCACCTAGCTCCACACAGACATGGCAAGTAGTGTTTGAGGAGTCACCTCGGCTATAAATGAGGTTTCATTTATCTGGATGGCTACTTTCTGTCCACACTGGCTCTTGGGTCCAGTAGTGAGTTGTCACAATAGCTACTATTTATTGGACTTGTGCCTTCAGTGTACCAGGCATGGGCTAAGCACCTGATGTGTATGACTTCATTCACTCCTGTCAGTCCTCCAACTACCTATAATATCCCCACTTTACAGAAGATACAACTGAGGTTTAGGAACATTAATAAACATGCATAAGGTCCTCCCTGGTGGTGCAGCAGTTGAGCTCTGGGCTGCAAGGCTGCCCGCAGCCTTTGCAGCGCCGGTTCGATCCCCGGCTGCCGGCAAGGGTCCCACATGTTGCGCAGACCTCTCCTGCCGTGCCCGCTGCTCCCCTCAGCAGTGTATTTCATCAGTCTGCCTGTTCTGTTCCCCGCTCTGGCTCTGGTGAATTATCTCACCCTCCTGCACTTCTGACTGTACCCAGTGCTTGTATAAATAAATAAATCTTTAAAAAAAAAATGCATAAGGTTACACACTTATTAAACAGTATATACTGTTCACACAGCAGCCTTATAAAAAAAAAAACAAAAAAAAAAACCAGTATACCTGGAACTTGACTCTAGGATTAACAGCAGGCCATACCAGACGTGCCTGAAATGCTGTCCCTGACATACCTTCCCAGATCATGGAGAGGTCAGAGCAGGAACCCACCTAAGCAGCTCCTTATCTCTTGGAGGTCACACCAAATTTTGACAAATGGAATCAGGGTGTCCCTCCCTCCAGCATACACCTTGAAGCCCCCAACGTGGCATCGATGAGGTCAGACTTATCAGGTGTAGGCACAGGGGGAACATTGCTCCAGGAACAGGACAACCAGGTCAGGGCGGGGAAGCCGTGAAGTGGGCCTGTCTCAGGGCAAGGGTGTCCTGTGTGTGTGCAGCAAGGCCTGTGGAACTAGCATCCTCCCCTGAGGTGAGGCTGAGTAAAGGGAGTACCCTGCCCTCTTTCCCTGCCATTAGCTGGGAACAGAACTCCCCGCCCCACTTCCAGCCAGGGAGAGCTGTTGGCTCTGAGGCTGGCTGCATTCACACAACATTAAGCATTTCCATTACCTAAAATAATTAGGCGGCAGGAGACACGCTGCTCCTGCTTGTTAGCTGTCCGGATGCTAAATTAATGGGGCTGCAGCCTGGGCGTGCCCATCCATCTTCTCCAATTATATTCCCACCATTTCTAGCCCACCTGCATCCTCCATCAGGCCCTCTGATTCCTTCCCCACTTAGGGTATAGCTTTCTGGTATACAGAGCAACGGAGAGGGGGTCAGGAAACCTGAAATCATATCTGTCCTCATTCTGCAGGATGACCTTGAACACACAGGTAAGGAACTTTAGTTTCAATTTCCTTTCCTATATAGTGAATCTTAGGTTCCCTCCTAAGATCCCCCCTTTTTCACTTACACAACAGCCTCCACCTCTTTGGGCAGGCGTGGGGATGTGCAGCCCAGAATCTCCCCAGGAGACAGGGGTTTGCACTGTGGGACACTCACACGATACTCAGCTTTCAGTTCCTGGGCCACTGCCTGTAGGGATAATGAGGGAAGGAAAGCAAGTGGATAGGGAGGGAGAGTCAGGACCAGAGGACTAGGGTAGAGCTCATGACTTAGGGATGCAGGCGTACCCTGGGTGCTATCTGCCCACTTACCTGCAAGGTTGACACAAACTGAATGGTGCTGACCAGAGCAATGGCACTGGCTGGGGGAAAGGTGAGGCGGATAGAGTCCAGTAGGTGGGCCGTATCTATTCGAATGTCCACAAAGACATACAGCACTCGGAAGTCTCGGGCCAAGGTGTCCATGGGAACTGGGAAGAGTTTAGGAGACCTTGTTTTGGAAAGTAGGAGAGGCACAGGGTCTGGCTTATGCATAGTCCCTGAGCAGCTTGGGACACACAGATCCCTTAGAAGCTCTTTTTCTGTCACTCAGTCAGGGGCCCAGCCTGCTCTACCACCAACAGCCTTTCAAACACCAGCATCTGGGACAGCAGCATGGTTTCCAAGGCAACCAAATCCAAAGGAAAGATTCACCTCTGAAGCAGGAAGGCCAAGGCCATCCCAGTAACCAGGAGGGATCTCATGCCCGCAAGCAGGACAAGAGTGTACTGTGATGGAGGTGGGCGTGCAGTCCTGCCTCCCTGCCAGCCCTGCCTGGTCTGTCTTACCCAGGCAGCTGTGTCCATAATGCACCAGGAAGTCAGCTCCTAGGGCCCTTGCAGTAAAGTCATCCACACAGCAAGCCCCATAGGTCACGTCACCCATCACCATTACTTCAGCCTCAGTGAACCTGTGTGGTGGGGGAGGATGGGGGAACAATGCGACAGTGACAAAGGAATGAGTTGGGGGAGAGACCTAACCCTATGGAGGTATCTCACGGCCCAGCTCCTCTTTCCCTACCTCTTCCAATCCCTTGGGTTGGCAGCTGCCATTTCTGCCAACAAAGAGTAGGAGGGGCACAGCTGCTACCTCCCCCAGCCCTGGCAGCAGTTCCTGGAACTGTTGCTGTATGAGGATGGTCTCTGTAGCGTCCTGATTCCTCTGCCTTGGCTCTTACTGTGAGAGCGACCCCCAAGCCTAAGCCTGGCATGTGGGGGTCAGCCACAGACCCCTGATGTCCAGACTCATCCCACCTGGAGCATTGAGCAGGTGCACACATGCAGAGGCCCCCACTCCCATGGCCTGGCTTTGTGGTGTATGTGGCTATGTAAGTGTGGATACACACAGCCTCTCTGTCATCAAGACCCCCACTACCACCCCACCTTTAGCTAGGGCCCTCTATGCCCAGGATGGGGGGACCCATGTACAACTCCCCCACAGCACATGGCACCACCCACATGCCTCATGTATCAGGAAGAGTAGGCTCTGGCCAGCACATTGCCATGGAATCTGCTGCCAGGCCTGAATCACTGGGGGGACCAAGTTGAGAAGGGAAGACCTGGCACCCCTGAACTCACCACAGGAATGGAGCTGGAGGAAGAGCTCCTCCTTGAGAGGCTCACCCCTGGGGCAGGGGGCCCAGCTCAGTGATTGTGGTCTCCCCATTCCTCTCCTGGGGGTGTGCTGGAGGAAGCTGAGCTACTGCCAGTCAATTCCCCTCCTCCTCCCCCTTCCCCAAATCAGGCTGTGCACAGAAGCAGATTATTCAGCTCCTTAGAATGCAGCCCAGGCATCTGAGTCAGCCAGAGCACTTAATTTTTTATAGATTAAAATGTATGCAAATTGGCCTGAGCCCCAGAGAGCATCCCCAAGGGGCAAGAGGGTGGGAGCAGGGAAGAGAGTGGCAGCAGGCTGAGAAGCAGGGTGGGGGGAGGGCAGCAGCAGGGAAGTAGGAGGTTCCCATCACAAGATGACCTCCCCTTTCTCCATGCCCCCTCCTTATTCCTGTGTGGGTTCCAGATGGCCGAGCACTCTCCCTCCCTTCCCAGGATGGCTCATTGTATTGAAGAAACTTAGATGGCTGGGGGTAGAGGAACTGAGTATCATCTCCTAGGCACTTCTATCCCTGCCGAGTTATTCCTTGGCATGCAACCCCAGATGTGTCAGAGAAAACGATTCCCCTAGCGAGACCTCATGCTGACCACCAGATTCATTCCAGGGGCTGTTCTGAGGAACCTTAGGTTCGTCTGTAGGTCCCACCGCCTGCTCTGGGTCCAGCTTTGGAGATACTGGAACTGATTCATTCCTCCCTTCCAAATATCTTAGAGGTGGCGGGGAGATTTATTTGAATAAGCAGATAGGGCTTAATTTAGTTGGCTGGATTTTCCCTGTGTGTTTTTATGGTTGTGGAAAGGGGACTAAGGCAGAGATCCAGAAGGGAAGAAATGATGCCAACAAGTAGAATTGTGATGGGCATGGGGAAGATCTTGGTAAGTTTCCTCTCCAGTGCCCCAAGCCTTACCTTTCCAAGATATCCACAATGGTGCAGGCAAAGAGGAGGAGCCCTTCAGGCATTTGCAAGGCCACTGCAAGACAGAGCAGAGACATGGGAGAGAAGGGCTAGGAAGAGGATGGGATGGGCATCTGCCCCACCCCAATTCAAAGCTTGGAGGCTCACCTTTCTTGGCCTGAGCCTGTTGGATCCTCCAGATTGTCTTGGGAATCTCAAAGTTATAGTTGGAAGGCAGGACTTGGATGGCTGCCTGCAGTTGGGGGTTGTTCAGGATCTCAGGGGGTATCTGATTGGCCAAACGGGCCCGAGGGGCTCGACCTAGGGTGAATGCAAGGTCCGAGTTAGTGCCTGACTTAAACCACAGCCAAACCCTGCTAAGCTGTTAATGCCAACCAACTTTAAGGCCCAGATCCCAGAAGCCAAGAGAGTTGGGCCAGCTGTGTTTCCCACTGAGTTCATCCTGATGCAGAAAAGACAACCCATTAAGCAAAGAAGAAACTGGCATAATTAATTTTCACTTTGTGAGATGAATAGAAATCAAACACTTGAGCCCATGCATGGGACAGCGCTCACCCTTTAACTTGGGAGAGCAACAGTGACACCAGGGGACTGAACTGAGGGGCAAACAGAAAGTCCATACAACTTCTTGGTAAGAGAACAACCCTGAGGAAAATCCAAGAACCTAGATACCCCAATCAGTCTGGGAAAATGTGCCCAATTCCCCAGACTCCTGAGAACACCTTGGAGTTCTGAGGTCCGAGATATGACAGCTGTAGGCAAACTTTTATACTCATTAATCTAAAAGACTGCCCTCCTTACTATGTCTACACTGGTTAATTCCTATTTTCTTTTTTCTTCCCTCTTCTCATTTAAAAGGGAAATAAACACCACACATTTATAACCAACTTAACAAGTTCCCCGGTCCCATTACTCCATCCCACCTCCCACCCTAGGAAAGATGTTAAGAACACACTCTAGTCAGGACTGTGGGCAAACAGGAGAGGACAGAAAATGGACCTCACACTATAGGAGCTAGTTGTCTAGTGGGGGCAAACATTGTAGCCCTTAAATTAGGTTGCAGTCCTTAATCTGCTTCCTACTCCCCACAATTCTGTTTAGCTCAATTCCTAGTTATCTCTTTAGGAGCCAGATGGAAATGTGACATGCCAAGAAATTAACTTATTGAACAAATAGTTACTGAGCCTGTACTATGTGGCAGAACTTCTGGTAGGATTCATTACTATGATAGCAGATATCCACCCAGACCTGAATCTGCACCTTGGGGATGGGGAGAGGGCCAGTGGTGGTGTGGTGATGGTGCAGTGGAGAAATAGCAGGCTGGGATCTTGAAACCAAATTTGAATGTTATCACTATTGTGGTTTTTCTCCAGTTGTTTCAAAGGCCTTGAAACAACCAGACCAACAGAAGCTCCTCTGAAAAAGCCAAGTTCCCTGCGTTCCTTAGGGTGTGGGAGCTGCTAGTCTTAGAAGCTCAATTTGTCTCAAGGGCCAGTAGGTGCCTCCTCCTGTATCACGTGCTGTGATCTTCTGTTTACACCTTTATTCCCTGGTAGACTGAGATCCCTGAGGGCAGGGCTATATTCTAGTCCCCACACGTAGCACAGGCCTGGCATTCAGCGGGCGCTCAATAAGTGCCTGGTGAATGAAACCATGTGTCTCTTCCCAGAAAGCATTCCCTGAGGGCCAATTTGTGGAATGCCAGCTAAAAAGCGCTGGCCTCCTTTCCATCTGGTCGGGTCCGTCTCATCCGTGAATCTTCCCGCGTCAGTCTACCAGCTAAGGCAGGGGGCAGCCTTCCCGCTATTGGACTACAAGTCTCTAGGAGGGGCTGCCGGATCGCTCCCTAAGGCTGCAGAAGAGAGACCGATCCCCCCGGGCTCCAGGTGACAGCCGCCAGAGCCAGAGACGGCGAAGACTCCCGGATCTGGAGGAGAAAGGTGCCGCCGTCGTCAAAGGGGACTGGTTTTGTCCCTGACTTGGGGGCCCTACTCGGAAACACGAGGTCCGGAGGCCGCTCCGTGGTAGCACCCACCTCTGCTTGGGCCGTTTCGGCCGCCCGGCTCCGCCGCCTTGGAAGCAACTAGCGCCGCCATCACCGGCCTGCCCACGTGGGGGTAAAAAGACAGAGCTAGAAGAGCGCGGAGAGAGCAGACATCGCGATCGATCGCCGATCGGCCAGCAAGGGGCGGGGATTTGCTGGGCGGAGACCCAGAAGGAAGAGATAAGGGCCGGGCTATTCGTAGTCCGCTTCTGCGGGAAAGGTCGGGACTCTCGGGAGCCCCTAGTGGTCCTCGACCACCGCGATTGCGCTCTCCCGGCGCTGGGGTCGCCTCCTCCCAGGACACTGCTCCTCTATTTGCCGACTCCTGCTCAAATTATGAGGGCCAAGTCTTGTGAATGGGGACTCCACCAAGTCTTACTTCAGCTCCACTCCCTGCCTCTCCTCCAGATATACAGTGGACGCTGCGAGTTTGGGAACACATAAGCTACTTTGGAGTGCTCCCCCCACCCCCTTGAACCGGACAAAACTCAAAGTCCACCAGCCCAACTCCAAATTGAGTCTTGATGCTGATTGTTCGAAGCACCAAGATGTCCTTATCACCTTTAGAACCAATAGTGTGGAAGGTTAACCTGTGAAACTGCTATCGGGATATGCCCCCATCCTGAAGATGCTTTCCTGAGGAAGTAGGGCAGTCCAAAACACGTTGTCAAAATTGTCTAGGCTGCTCCTGAGATCTAGATAACCTTTCTCTTCACCAGTGGTCTGAGCTCCTGGGATCCCAAAAAGAAGGCAGGGCAGCTAGTGAGACAACCTTGACCTTTGGAAGAGCAAAGTAACCTCTTCAGCAAGGCCTGCCCATAGAACAATAATCCACCAGGGCCATTTGCCCACCAGCCCCCTGGCACCATCTTCCTTTCCCTGCTGTGGTGAAGTGAGCACAGCTGGCCCTTTAAGGCGGCTCTGTGGCCTCGGGCTCCCCTGGAGGCCCTCCCTGCTTGGAAACTCCTAATTAAGGTGCATAGAGAAGTGAAAAACAAGCAGCCAGGGACAGGCCCTTGCCTGGGAGGCAGCCCAGAGACAAGGGATGGCTGAGCAGGCTGGGAGTGAGCAGCCAAGGGGAGGATCAGAAAGGGTCAATGCTCTTTCTGCCCCTTGGGCTATTCACTGACCGCTGCTCTTAGGACAGTCACAGCTTTGGATAGGAATGTGGCCAACATAGGTCCCAGGAACCTCTCCTCTCACCTTTAATGAGAATCTCACCTGGAATTTCCCATCTTTCCCATGTTCTTTGGACCCCCAGGTTGTGGGATTTCAGTTCCAGGATCCCCCTGAATTCAGCCCCTTCCCATTTAGGACACTAAGGCTCAGCCTGTGGGCAGCTTTAGCTCTGGTTGCAGCTGTGAGATCCATGGGAGAAAGATCTGTTGCGGCAGAGCAGTGGTTTCTCCCTGGCAAGCACCTTACCCCTTGTGGCCTTTCCCTAGGAAAAAGTAGGGACAGTTGATGGAAGGCACCTATCCTCTCATTACATTGCCCCACAGCCTCCATTCTGAACGAGCTGCCCAGGACCCCATTAGAAAACCAGGTGTGACATTGACCTAGACATCAAGAACAGATGTGAGCATGTCTCCCAAGACCCTGCAGTGCAGGGCATTGGGGGCTATCATTCAGTTTGGTCTGAGAACACCTCCATCTGTCCGCGGGGGTCTCCCTGCCTGAGTTACTCAGCAGCTGAGTAATTACTGCCTGACAAGAAGGCGGGCACTGTGCACCCCACATTACACCACAACACCCGCCTACAGTCGCCTCCACCCCTTGGCTGGACTCCAAAGCAGCACCCAGCCCTCCCGAGGCCTGAAATAACTCTGCTTTTTACACTCACGCCCAGCCCCAGCCAACATTCCCTAAGATGCTGGGGTTTATGGGGCAGGGGGTCACGGGGAGGCGTCTTGGGGAGGTGGAAGGAGGATTAGTGTTCCCTGATTCAGGCCCACACTTTGACATGGATCTGCTGCTGCGTGACATTGAGCAAGTCCCTCCCTGGGCCTCATTCTACTTGTGGAGGGCCTCTGCAGCTCTGTCATAGAGTTCCACTTAGCTTCTGACTGGCAGGACTCAGGCAGGTGTGGGATCAGCCCAGCCCTGCAACTGGTTGAGGCTGAGAGAAAGGTTGCCTTTCTTTCTGTTCCTGTCCCAAGATGGGCTAATTTTATTAGTCTTCAGAACAAGGTTATGTTCTCAACCTCCAAGCATTTGCACATTCTCTACTGCCTGGAATGGTCGTTTCCCTCCTAAGGCTGATGAACTGAGGCCCTGACATAACTCAGGACCTCCCTGGTGGCAGATGGGTTAAGTCTCAGCGCTATCACCTCTGCATCTGAGTTTGATCCCTGGCTAGGGAGTTAACCCACATGGCTCAGCAGACCCCTCCTGTCTTGCCCACTGCTCCCCTTAGCAGTGTGTTTCAGTGGATCTGCCTTTTCTGTTCCCCACTCTGTCTCTGGTGAATTGTCTTACCCCTGACACCCCTGCCCTACATTAGAGTTCTACCCAAAAATAAATATTAAAAAAAATAAAAAAGACATAGGGCCTCACTGGTGGTGCAAGAGTTTAAGTCGCAGCATTATGAAGTTATCCACAGCCACTGTAGCATAAGTTCGATTCTGGCCATGGAGCTAACCCACATGGCACAGGAGACCTCTCCTGTCTCTCCCGCTGCTCCTCTCAGCAGTGTATTTCAGTAGATCTGCCTGTCATCTCTGGTGAATCCTCTCACCCCCCCGCACCTCTGGCCTGTACCCCAGTTCTTTTTTTTTTTTTTTAGATTTTTTTTTTTTAATAGAGGCATGTTTTTTTCTTTATTTATTTGTTTTGCTTGTTTGTTTGTTTTGTTTATACATGCACTGGGTACAGTCAGAAGCGCGGGAGGGTGAGAGAATTCACCAGAGCCAGAGCGGGGAGCAGAGCAGGCAGAAGGACCGAAGCACACTGCTGAGGGGAGCAGCGGGCAGCAGGAGAGGTCTGCGCGCCATGTGGGACCCTCCTCCGGTGGCCGGGGAGCAGCCGGGGATTGAACCGACGCCGCAGAGGCCACGTGCAGCTTAGCAACCCAGCGCTCTACCGCTGCGCCACCGGGGAGGCCCAGTACCCCAGTTCTTAATGCGTAAATAAATCTTTAAAAAAATAAAAGACATAACTCAAATGGCGCCACTTCTTGTGAAGCCTTCCCTAATGGTCCTTTACTCCCTCACAGAACTAACAGAGTCCCTTCCACACTCTCCTCCTGTCATCTTCTAAGATGGCTTATGAATCTTTCATTCCCCACTATGCCATAAGCTTCTACAAGCCCAAACCTATTTAGTTAGCTCAAACCCAGAGCCTCAGTGTCATCAAATGCATATATGAATGAATGATACTAGCCTTTTTATTAATCTTCCTCTCATGTCAGGTTTTTCTCCAAGGAATCACATGGCTCAATTTCTCATTTCAATTAGATCTTCGCTTAGATGTCACTTGCTCAGAGCAGCTTTTCCTGACTTCGCATGTCAACTCCAGAGCATTCCCTGCTTGTTATCTACCAGACACCAATTCATCTGAACTTTTCTCATTTTTGTCTTTATTAGATTGTAAACTCCATGAAGACAGAGACATTTTCTTTTTCATTGGCTGAATCTCCAGGACTAATTGTGCTTCACATATATGACCCTCAAAAAATGTGTGGAATGAGTGACTTGACCCACTCTTTTTCCTCCCCCAGAACCCCACTTATCCTAGGCCAGTAGGGGGTGCCGCCTCCACCCAGGATCTCTCTTGACCTGAGCTTTCTCTATATTCAGCCCAGCCAACCCCCTAAGAGACCTGCTTTCTGGGCGGTGCCTCCTCTATTTTCCACGGATTCCCGGGGCAGGGTCTGTGAACGGAGAGAGATCAGAGGCCTGGTGGGCTGAAATGGCCCATTCTGAGTCCCGGATCCATCCTTTATTCTATCTCTAGGATTTGCAGCTGGGCCTCCACAAAAACAAGCTGTGTGGTCTAGTCCAGCCTGCCACCGCCCACCCAAAAAAAACAAAAACAAAAAACAACCAAAAAAACGTGTCCTGGGACACAGGGTAAGAGGCTGCTGAATTCGCAGGAGCTGGGAAGGAAGAGCCGTCGAGTCTCACAGGAGGAAGGCTAGAGGGTCAGAGGGGAGATGGGCAGCAGACGTGGACTTGTGATGGGGCTCTGGGCGGCAGTCCACCCGTCCCAGTACTCAAGCCCGCAGAAAGCACGCTTCCAGCCGCTTCTCTCGGTGACCTCCAGCCGCGAAGGGCGAGCGGGCGGGGGTTGGGTTGCGGATTGGAGCTCCGGGAAGCCCACAGGGCCTGGGAGGGGCTTTCGAGTGGCCCGACGACCGGCCAGGGGACCGAGGCAGGTACTTGGACAGACGGGGGTAGCAGCTCTTCCCCCGGGGCGGGCGCCACGAAAACACCTTGGGAGGCGGCGCCGCGCGGTTGAGCGCCGCTGTCCTGGGAATAGGACGGCGCTCGGCACCGCGAGCTGAGAGCACTTTCATAAATTTTGTATGGGAGGCGCTCCGTGAGCGGGGGCGGGGAACGGAGCGAGAGGGAGGGAGCTAGCGAGGGAGGGAGGGAGGAGGAGAGGTGGGGGAAAACTGGGGGGAGGAAGGGAGGCGCCCCGCTCCGCCGATCGCTCGGTCCTGCAAACGCGCGCCGGGCGCTTTCCCGGGAGCTCGGCGGTGCGTGCGAGCGCCCTTTGCAGCAGCCCCGGCGCCTGCTGCCCGAGGGGGCGGAGAGGAGGGGGCTACGGTCGGGCGGCCGAGAGGGGGGCGGCGTCCCCCCTCAAAACCGCCTGCAAAGTGCTCTGGGCTGCAGAAGCAGGCCGCCGGCTCAGAGGAGCAAGCCGTTCGCCCCGGGGGCTGAGCGGGCGCGCGGGGCTGCTGGGCAGCACCGCGGTTGCTGGTGGGCTCTGGTGTCCTCCGCGCGGGGCTCAGGCTCATCATGCCCCTGCGGGGCCTGGCCGCCGGGCACAAACGGATCCCCGGCTTGCCCCCGCCTCGAAGCGCTCGGATTAGCTGCAGCCGGCACCCAAGGATTTGAA